GTACGTTTGTGTGGTTATGCGGGAGATTTTGTTATAGTACCTTCAAAGGTTACGACAACTTTGAATGTTGATTTAGCTACTTCTACCGTTGACGTACCGGATAATATGTTATTATAGGTTAGCCATTTTTAATGATATGGTTACAGTTTTCGTTAGATGCAACCAAGTATGACATATTTTAATTAAAATAACGTCAACGTTACACATATTAACGAGTCTTTGTCTAAGAAAATTAATTTATGTGTAGAAGAAACTACTATTATTCCGCAGAATTTTGTAGGTGACATTTCACCAATTAAAAATGAAAACGGTAGGGGTGTTTTTGATGATCTAAGATATTTTTCTAGATCTAAGATGTTTTTGTTGATCTAAGATATTTTTGTAATTGTATTATGTTTTTGTTGATCTAAGATATTTTTGTAGATCTAAGATGTTTTTGTTGATTTAAGATATAGAAATTAAGATAATAATTTTCATATTATTTTACCGTGTGTTATTAACATAAATAACTGTTGCTGTATTCATGTTGCCAATATGTCAGATAAATTTGTTTGTTACGAAAAAGACAGAATATTTGCTAGATGTTATACCTGTATCAGAATTTCGAAGATAGCTACCATCTAAAGCTTGATAAGCAACAGATATTGCTGTATGACCAAATTTTACGTTAATCGATCTTGAGAAACAAACTAATTCAGAATTAAATAGCATTGAACATTCTAAATTACTTAAATTACTTAACGAGTATATGTATTGTTTCGCTACTAATTTAGGTCAGGTTGCTAAAACCACTTTTACGGAAATGTTGATCACACTAACCGATAGCGAACCTGTAATGTACGGTTCATGACTTCTGTTTTGGTAAATGCTCCTGCTGTTATATAAAAGATTATGAACAAAATATTTGGACCCACAACGGAGAATGAATAATGAAGACCGGTGGATGGAGGATGAAGACCCATGACGGAGAGGAGGATGAAAGACCCCTAGAAAGAGGCATGATGAGGAAACAGCCGCAAAGGACGCCCAAATCGGAATGGAAATCGACACACCAAGACACTGTAGCAGATTTTGCAGCACCTAAGGATATCAACGAAATTCGGCGATTTTAACATAAAGAAGCTAGTAGAACGATCCATATATGCTAGTAGGAATACTTCTATAACGTCAAAATGACAGCACTTTAGGCTAGTATAATGTTTAGTAGAGCCACAACCGAAGGAGAGTAAAAATATTATTCATGAGCTCTACGCGCATTTAAAAAGTTCAGTTTTAAATGTCATAAAGTTAAAATCGTTACCGATTGTAACTTAATTCGTGACACACGTGTGAAACGAGACTTAATTCTTCGCATCGCAAGATAGTGGTTATTAATTCAAGAATTCGATTTTGGCATTAAATATCGTGGTGGCACTAAAATCAGCCACGTAGGCGCTCTGAGCCGAAGTACCACTATACCCATGGATCAATCACTGAACGTATCTGTAACGTGTGGAGGGTGGGTTACCCCACGGCACTTAGGCCTCATTAGGCCCATTGTGCATCCTCCTGAGATGATATGCATCTCCTAGCTCGTGAGCCAACCTACAGATTTAATGTAGTTGACGTCGCCAAAATGTACTTCTCTTATATTGGCCGGTGTTAGCCGAATCACTTAACGTAATGATAGTAAATATTGAGGAAGATGACTGAATACTTTCAGCACAACTACAAGACAACACTTGTAACAATATTATCAATGTTTTGTCACGAGATCCTATAGATATTGACAAACGGCGAACGACAAATTCATAAAGGGTATTGTTTATTTAAAGGATAAACTACTTTTGAAAAACAGCAAAGAGAAAGAGATGATTTATTCCGAAAGGAGCACGACGAAAAATTCTGTTAGTTTATTGCAGCATCCTCATGATAGGTCATTTAGCAGTTAACTACTTTATAAAATTTGTATAGGAATGTTAGGAAAACTTGTATCTCATCAAATCAATTAAGTGCTTTAAGAAATTTTTATAAGAGTGCTAGGAAAATTCGTATCTCTTCATTTCAATTAACGGCTTTAAGAAATTTGTATGACTATTAGAAAAAAAACTCCTATCTCATCGTAGCAGTTGATGGCTTTATTTTACGAAATTTGTTTTTTTTTTTTAAAGCAGTACAAAAATACGAAAACTGGGCCGGTGCCTGTACTGCAATTTCTAGATGACGTAATAGAAATGTTCGGGGGTTCATCGCAGTTTTATTTGCGGCAGTGACACTGATTTTATGAAAAAGAATTTTAAGGTATACTTTTTAACTGTAGGTATGTTTAACTTTAGGTGTTAAACAAGTGTGTTTGACTTTATGTGTTAAACAGGTATGTTTAACTTTAGATGTTAAACAAATGTGTTTAACTTTAGGTGTAGTTACCTATATTGACTTACCTGTTCATACCTGCTTGCCAGGTAGCCATGAACAGAAATAAGTAAACCGAGGCAAAAACTATCTGTTAAAATTAAATTTGTCCGGTTATCAGAAAAGTGAACGCAAAAAAATTGATTAAAATTTATTTAATTAAAAATAGCCATGAACACTTTTCGAATGGCAAGCTGCCACAGGCGTGTTAATAAATCAATAAAATTCCGAAAAAAATGTCTCATCTGGTTATCAGATGAGTGAAGGTTGACCTCTACGGTCTACACTTTTAAATAATTTTTTCCAATTTTGACTTATAAAGTGACATTTTTGTAATCGCTGCAAGTGTCAACTAGTTGCATAATGTTGAACATGGTGAAACTGGTTTCGAAAATTTCATTGTGTCACCAGTTGCGAAAAGAAAACGAATAAAAATAAACCTTGTTTGGTTTTAAAATCAATATACAAGGTGGGCCATTTAAAAGTTCCACCCCCTCCTTATTCTCGTTATTCATTGAGATATCGGAATAATTTTTTTTTTGCTTGAAAGTGGAACAAATACTTTCTTATGAAGTTTTCAATTATTCTGTGACATCACGGCTTACTTCCGGTTTTTCCGGAAGTAACAAAAAATCGCAATTCAGAGTAAAATTAATATTTCTAATCAAATTCTCCATTCAATTGATAATACAAATAATGAAATTCATATTAATTTGCCCTCTTCATCTACGAGTACAAATTCGTTTGTGACTAAAGATGGTACACCTCAAGTACTTTTTAATAATTGTACTATTCAAAATTTGTATTTAAACAAAATTGATTAAAATGTAATGTATCTTGTTTAATGTTAATATGAATTCGTTTATGTTTATTGTTAGTAGTTATTTTGTAGGAATAAAATTTAAGTCGAAAAACTTATTTTTCTTTCATATTTTATTTATTATTGTTTATATAAAAAAGTATTAAAAAATAAAGCAATGCTAGTTTCTTGGTCGTAGAAAAAATAGTGTATGCAACTCTTAAGTAATGGCTATTAATACACTCGCTTAAGATTTACGACACTAGTCTGCGGCTCGTGTCGTAACTTACCTCAAGCTCGTGTCTTAATAGCTATCATTACATGATCGTTGCATAATATACTATAAACACAGGGTTTGTTTTGTCGGAACACTAACAAACCAAAGGATAGGCGAGGTGAGAGGGAGGTTGTTTGGAATCCATAGGCGTATCATAAATGTATTTTAATATGATAGGAATATTATTAAGATTTTTATGGGTCGATTCTGAGATAATATGCCAAGATCTGTACAAAATTACATTACTATATGTTACAGATTCTGTAGTGTATAGGATATTTCTCAGGATCCTACCATTAGTAATATTAAAATATTTTTTAATTTGGGTATTTTCAATATTATAAAATGTGTAGGACAAAGTACGTTTAATTTTAATATTTTAGCCCTAAAAAGAGACTTGCAACTCCTGAACGTCTAAGTTTTACTCGTGTTGTTGTAGTGTTTTTCCTTTTTTTAATATTTTATATTTTTTTGGCGCGCTAAGTTATTTGTGTTAGGTTATATATACTTTACTATTTAGAAATTATTTTCTGAAAAAGCTACGTAAATAAATAATTAAGTACCTTTTCTGATGGGCAAGGTTGATGATCTAATAAATAATCATTATCATTCTCCTTTCGGTCACTAAAAGTAGGTTTAGCTCCCTTTTTTAAAAATACGTCTACCATCGGGAGAAAAAGTAAATTCAGTTTTTATAAAATTTATAAAGTAAATTCTACTATTAACCTCTATCTCTGGTGATATTCCTAGGGCCTGTACCCAAAGGTTTTTTATTCAGGATTTCCAGAAAATCTAAACATAATAATAAATTAAGATTTAAAAAGGATACAATCACAGTATAAACCATATTAATATATGGTATGAAGAGCAAATACGAACCAGTTTTTTAAAAAATCTAATAATATTTAAGCACTTTTTACCTACCTGTGAAAAGTTACATTGACTGCCTTTAAAATACTTTCTATCACAAACAACACATTTAACAACCATTGTTTTGAATATTTTACAACAGATTACTCAAAAAAAAAATATAAATATCTACTACAAAATTTCCACAAGACAACAATATCCAAACAAAGCTTACGCACCCTGAACTACCTAAAGAGACGACACTGTTTGGCCACGTTTTGTATATGGTTTTCTATTAATTAATTAATTAATTAATTAATTAATTAATCCGGCCTTTAAATTGAAAATCGCCAATGGGATGACGGGATCCAATTGTCAAAATATCCAAGCAAAACTGTAATGGAAGGGGAACGTGATGCAACCAAACAAATCTTGACAGTTACTTATTTAACATTTCATCTGCGGTCAAACCGTATAAACTGACAACGCTGATATTTTTCATTTCCTGTTTGTCGTAATGCTAACGCTCTGTAGTTTTCACATGCACTTGTGCAAAGCCTATTACAAAATGTTCAGTGGCAATGGCCGTGGCCAATACTGTATTTGACCTGGGCTTGACGTCCCTCCCCACTCCCTTTGCAAAGAGATGTGACCCGTATGACCGCCACAGTTGTGCAATGTACCGTAGAAAGTACTTTAAGCTTCCTGTCAGATAATAGTTGCTATTTACTAAGTTTTAGGACCCTCATACCTATACCTACGTTTTAAACTGGTTTTTTCTAACCCATGCTTGCACACACGTTCCCATATAACTCGGCGCCCATGCTGCGTACGCACATGCATAGAATTTCCGTTACGTTTGGAGAGTTACGAGTCGGAATCTTGTGTTCATTCCAAAACTCAAACCCTGGAAGTCCGCCGCTCGACGCGCCGACGCATTTACTCTTTCATCTTTTACTCATAGAAATACAGAAAATCGTAACTCGTGCATATCGCAGACTTTTATCCCTTTAAAAACCAACTCGAATCGATGCGAAAAGTTAATTTATATACAGTGAAACATTGAAAACATTTACCGCATTTTACAACATAGACCAATGAGTCGGACGTTATTTTATTTAAATAGAAATTGTGCAGTTTTATAGTGATTTGTGATCAAAATTAAAGTTCATAATGATAACTAATGGTCCAGAGGCTTTCGAGCAAGAGGATTTACTCAAGAAAGGAAAAGTTGTTGAAATATCGGGATCTAAGCAAAGATTGAGTGGAAGTGAGTAAATTAAATATTATTTCACTATTAAAAAGGGCTGTGATAATGCGCGAATGGTGGCTTCGGAATATGAGGGTGGACGTCTTGCGGTGTTGCCGGCTGTAATAAATCGGTTTCCTATATTGGAAAGAGGTGCCTATTTTAAAACATAGTAGTGAGGGAATCGTCACACGTGTTACTTCAAAACAAAATGCATATAGATATACAGGGTGTAACAAAATGCTAGTTAATAAATTATAATAGATATGCGGGAGTCAAAAATATAGAAAAGTTAGGTATGTACCTATTAAAGTAGGTACCTAAAAGCTACTTTGCAAGAAAAAATTAAGAAATCAGTACAACCAGGGTAGTAAAAAACCTAAGAATTAAAAAATATATACATAAGTGTTAAGGCTATTTAGGTTTTTAAAGTTTATAGGTTTTTTTAAGGTTTTTAGTTCATAGGTATACCTATGTAAAAAGTTATTAGGTACCTATTAATAAAGTTAAATAAAAAATACAAGCAAACTTGAAAAATTGAGTTTTAATATAATAAAAAATCACATTCCACAAACAAAAAACTAAAAAGTGAAAAATAAATAAACGGTATTTTTTAAATTGTCACTATCATTAATATCACTATCAAAAAGTTTCAGTGGTAGGTATAACGTTTGAAAAAATATTTCTATATTTTTTTATATACACTAATGTTTGCAGCCTTTTGTTGATTAATAAAATTGTGAATTCTTAATATTAATCTTAAAAAACCTAAAATTGCAGAATTTTCACTTTTAAGCTTTTAAAAAAAAATAAAAATCCCAGTGCAAAAAACCTGTACCTACCAACCCTGAGTACACCTTATAAACATAATACTTATATTATGAGGGTTGTGATCTCCTAAACCGCCCAAAATGTTGGATACCTACTTCAGAAATAGGTTATTATTGTGACACCATTGGTTTAACACATTCATTTTAAAACTTTTTTGTATCTTAGTAATTTTTAGAAAAATATTTTTTTTTTAATTATAGCAACTTTTTCAATATACCTTAACATCGTGTGCACACGGAAGGGGGTAGTTCCTTAGCTTACTTCATGACTAAAAATTCATTTATACTTAAGTCCGCAAATGTTTCGTTACCGATCTAGATGTTTTTTATTTTTAACCGACTTTAAAAAGAAGGAGGTTCTCAATTCGTCGCAATATTTTTTTTATGTAGCGATAATTCTTTAACACGCTGTCCGATTTCAATGGTTCTTTTTTTTTAGGTGATCCCATATAAATTTGGTCAAAATCTAATAATTGGGTCCATCAGAAAATCCTCAAACTCTTCATTTTTATGTATGTTTAGCGATAATGCTTTACCACCTTGTCCGATTTATATGATTCTTTTTTGTTAGTAAGGGGGTACCTCAGGGGTAGTCCCATATAAATTTTGTTAAGATGTGGTGATGGCATCTGCACGTTTTTGAAGTCGGTTTTTTTAAATTTTTAATTTCTAATACTTGTTTGTTTATAGCTTCTGCAATTTTTGAGACATTTAGCTGAAATTTGAAATCCTGGTTACTTTATAGGGTTTACATCATTGAGCATGCAAAATGTTTGTGAGAATCTACAGGGTGAGATTTTTCAGAGTCGTACCACCTTTTCTTCCCCTTAACTTTTCTGCGGTGCGCCGTTGTGGTACATTTTAAAATACAAAATAATTTTTTTAGAAACTTGTTGGTCTGTCCAAAATAATAATGAATATTTTCAAAATAAATTTTGAATCTTTAGCCTACATATATGATTTTATACTACCGATTACACCTATTTTTTTATTTTTTTTTTCGTTTTCAACAAGATTTTTTCAACTAAGTAATTACGCATTTACCCTATTTAGGATTTTTCTGCGATGAATCTAGCTCGGAATCTACAAAACATATTTTTTTTTAGTTTTAGTTTGCAACGAAACTCTTTCAAATAAATATGTATTAGTGAATTATACAGAAACTTCTTCTTTGTTTATGTTTCAAACAAGTTAATCTTTAATAACAACAGTATTTTTGTATTGAAAACATTTACATTTTCGGAAATAAAATATTTATAAAATTGTAACCATACCCATTATTCTTCTAACTCAACAGATCACATATGAATGAAGATATATAATGCTTGGCATTCTCTTCACAGTTTATCAGAATCGTTTTTTGTTTCTGAGTTAGGATTATTTTCAATATTACGACCCCCCCTCCCTTATATATACTCCATTTTTATTAAATTTTTTTTGAGAATCATTAGGCTTTATTCCCTCTTGATTTTTACTAAAAATTTCATGTTGATATCGCTTTTGGTGTTTGATTTATATTTTTTTTATTTCAACCCCTCTTAACCCCCCATTTTTTTTAATCAATAGGCTTTGTCCTCTTGTAGAGCTTGATTTTTGTACCTCTTATTTTTTGTTTTTGAGTTAGGATTTTTTTATATATTTCAACCCCCCTTAACCCCCATTTTTATTGAGATTTTTGTTCAGAATAAGCTTCATCCCCTTATAGAGCTTAATTTTTACTAAAAATTTCATGTTGATATCGCTTTTCGTTTTTGATTTATGATTTATGATTTTTTTAACCACATCCCCCTTTAACTCCGCATTTTTAATCAGATTTTTTCAAAATACATAGGCTTCTTCCCCTTATAGATATGGATATAAAATATTGAAAAAAATTCTAACTCAGAAACAAAAACGATATCAAATTAAAATATTCAGGAAAAATCAAGCTTTAAAAGGGGAGAAAGTCTATTGATTCTGAAAAAAATCTGATTGAAAATGGGTGTTAAACGGTTCTGTGAAGAGTGTAATATAGAATAAAAAGCATTATCTATCTTCATTCTAGTTATTCTTTCTTATTTATTTTTCCCCTTTTTATGTTACCCAACTTTGGACAGTATCCTTCATATTCATGTTCTCCTAAACAAATTTTTCTACATCCACATGTATATTATGTATTTTTTCACAAACTACAAATGGCATTAGTAGGCCATATAAATCTAGATTAGTACCCATGATACTATAAAAAGAAGGTATGTTACGCAGATTGATAATATACGTCACGGTGACGTATTGTGGTGGAAGGCGTGGCTTCTAGGAATTTGACGTATCAGCTGATCGAAAACAGCGCGCGAAAATAAATTTTAGTCTGCTCATGGTCAATCAGAAAACCATATTTCACACCACTATACGTCATGCGCGAACTCAACGAGTAATTTTTTGTATCTTGATTAGTACCCAACCGAGGTACCCAACTACCTATATTCTTTTTTAAATTTCAAATTATTGACTAATCTGTCAAACTAATTATCAGTATGTTACGGGCAGTGTTGTAAATTGTGACGATATTGACCGGACACTAACGTCAGCAGAATGCCCAATCAAATAGGAGATTTACGAAAATGACCGGCTAATATCGTTAAAGACCAAATATCATCTTTGGCCGTAACAAGTATATTTTTTAGTTATATTTTAAGGTAAAAGCGGGTAAAAGTAAATTATTACAAATTTTTAATCCCCTAGTTCGAACCCCGCTATATGTAAATTTATTTTAGGTGCATAATATCTTTTTAATATAGTTAAACACGTGGTAGATAAGCAAACATGATTTTTAGCCGACACTGGACTTTTAAGTTTTAATTGGTAATATAAAAGATACTTCCATAAAAAAAGAACATCTGATTATTAAGTATGCGGTTTTACATTATGTTACGCAACACTTGAATCATAATAATCATTTGAATTTTAAAAATAAACACTAGATAGTTTAATCTACAAATGCCACGTTGTCGGCTCTTAACAGGTTTCCGGTGGCCTTGTTATTGTTTGGAAGATACGTATATGAACCTAGTGATATATAAATAGATATACATTTAAGCGGGTCATGAAACACGTTAAGTCAATTACATTAAATTATAGAACGTAATCAACACTATTAATTTCTGTTATTTTTTTTAGATAGCAATGAAGACAATTTGTATGTCAAGTGAAAATAATAAACCACCTTATCAAAATCATTAAAATTTAATTATTGAAGCAAGTAACAACAATACTAAATCATAAATAAGTAACTACTACCTACCTATATCAAAACTCAGTGTACGAGGTGATTCAAATTTGAAGTACGTATTTTGACCCATTTTTTTCTTGGATCATAACTTTGAAACGGTGCATATGGATATTCGTGATTCAGATTAATTTTCGCACGCTTGTCATTCGTTACCTATATTTGTTTATTCATTGTGTAAGTTTTGAACGGGCTTTTATATATGTGTTTTTTTAACTGTTTTTAGATATTATAATTCATTATAATAAATTCAACAAGATTAAACTTACCCTCAAATGAACAAAAATATTCATCTACGAAATGCAAGAACACACTCGCATTATTGGGATAAAAGGTTGTTTTCGATTTTTAGAATAAAAAGCCACTGTTTTCACATGTCACCCTTTCATAATTGCCTATTTTATTTTTAATAAGTACATTTCGGTTATCCTTTTTGTACAGTTTTAGAAACAAAAATAAAATATATATTGTGTTTTTAGTGTTCATTCCCAAATAGACAAAAAGAAACTGTAACTTGACAAATCGGGCCCTAACATATTTTTCTAAATATTCATAACCTTGGCGAAAATTACGTCTAGTAGATCCCTATGAAGTGATTTTTGTGGACCCTAAATTTACGTTTAGAGTTCAATGTAGCTGTAATGAGGAAAGAAGAAAATAAACACAGATATAAATTACGAATAGTTTTATTAAAACACACCTTTTTGTATAGCCGGAAATTCATATTATTGAGGCCCTTCCTATGGGGCCTCAGTATTATATTCGTGCAGACGAAAAAATTTTCTTACCCCCATTTTTTAAAACTTTTTTTCATGTTTCTGAAAATGCAAAAAAAAAAATTTCGTCTGGTCGTCTGTGTGTATGTATGCCGGCACGATAACTCTAGAATGAAAGTTCTGATTGATTTGCGGTTTTGATTTTCTTGA